TCCCTTGTCTTCTATAAAGTATGCCTTATTAACATACCCAAGAATGAAATTTGCCTTTTTATGCAACGTCTTCACAATGATGGTGTTCAGTTCTTGATCCCTGTAACTCCTTGATCCATTTTCTCAGTGCTGTGGTCTAGTCACCTCTTCTCCCCCTCCTTTTTTTACCGGTGCATTTAATTTTCATACATCTCAATGCAGTATTTTATACCACTCTTAACAGAATTTTAGCTGACTGACTGTGAGATGTTTCTCCAGTTTTTCAAGATCTTTTGGTTTGCAGTGCTGAATCTTGCAAGCTCTTCCAGGCATGGGACTGGTATACCTCTGTATTTCATTATCTGAATTATTGAAGAAAATACTCAGTTGTTCTGGTGTGGCATCCCTGGAACTGATCTCAGTAAGTCCTCTTGTTCTAACTGTAGAATACTGGTAACTGCTTTCAGAGTTCATACCCATAACAACTATCATACTGGATTGTTTCAGAAAGCCTTACTATGCATCACAGTAGCTTTCAGTGCTGCTCCTGGTATATCTACTATTCCAGTTACTATAGCAAAGAAAGTTACCTAGTTTGACGTGGCTTGTTCTTGGTTTTCACTCAGCTGCCTTTTTTTCTTTCTTTTTTTTTAATCCCTAGGTTATTTAATAATTTGTTCCACATTCACTCAGAAGATGGAAAGGTAATGGCTGAGAGCTGAAGAAGCAATATTTTCATGAAGGCTTAGGGATGCTTGATTTTTATCAGGGCAGTGCTGACTTTGAGGGTAATTTAATAGAACAGACATTAAGTCTTCACTACTAATTAAGACTTTACTAGTAAATCAAATAATGTCAAGCAATGTTCCCAGAATACAAACTCAATCATCTGTGTTAAGTGTCAGCACACCCTCAGCGTGATTTGGCTTGGTCCCCCTAGGACAGTCCGAAACAGCAGTTAGGCATGATTTGGATGCTATCACAGGCAAAGCACCATTCCCAGTAGGCTTTTGCATGAGGTCACTGTTTCAGAGGTGAAAGGGTTTAATAATATGGATGTGAGCCATTCAATGCTAGTTTGCAGGATGCGTCTAGGAGAATGTTCCTGGGCACTCCTGATTTACAATCTTCCTACCTCTTTTTGCCTTCTCCATCTGCAAGATTCACTGTGCTCTCTAGGCACAAATGAATCAATCCTCTGACAAGTCTGAGAGGAAGCTGAGGCTGACACCTGACTTTATAGATGTGAAGAATGAGACAATATCTGGCCCATTCTTTACAGCAAATAAGTAGCTGAGCTGATGCTGAGTCTGGGGGCCTGGGCTCTTATCTTAGACTGTACTATGGAGACCATTCCTCCATTCCCCCGGCATCTCCTTTTCCATCTTGTCAGGCAGTGCCTTGTGAACTGTGGAACTGGAGGGACCCCCATGAAACTTCTGAGAACAGATTTCTCTAACATATCAGGTGCCTTGTCCGGTGCCTTCACTCCTCTCCCATCCCAGCCTTGCTGTTTAAATGGAGCTGGTCACTGGGACAGGATACCCATGACAAAGGAATTGGCAGAAAATGTCACCAGGGCTGAAATAGAGATGTGTGTTGACCTTCTGGAAGAAGGAAGGGCTGAGTGATCAGGAGAGAGAAAGCAAACAGAGATGCTGTGAGCTGGATCTGAGCTGGATGATGAAGAGCTTGGGAATAGCTGATGAATGGCTGCTAAGACATGCTGAGCTGAAACTGGACAAATACCCTGTGTTTAGAGATGCCTTGTCAACAAGGGCTTTGCTTTTCTCCCATCTCCTTCCTATATGACTAACTCATATATTCCCCTTCCTTTTCTATAAGCAGGGATGAAATTCCAGTTCTCTAATAATGACCAGGTAGTGAATTCCAGTGCAGAAATGTCTGCCCCTCGTGGGGACAACAGCAGAATTAAGTGCCACCGGGTAACAGAAGAGTGACAGATAGCACTGTTAGGCTTCCGCAGGCTGAAAGATGCTCCTGTACTGGAGTGCTTTTTCCCTCTTGGAAGATATATATAGAGAAACCAGTGGAGTGTATCTTTCATTTGTGTGCATCATATTCTCTGCTTCCACCTTGATGAGCTCCACACAGATTCTGGGAACAGCTTGAGATTATGGAAATAATTAAATGAAATTAATCAAAACAACCTACCCTGAGACAGAACTAGCATTGGTGAAATACAGAGTTGAGCCAAGAAGGGATTCTGTAGCCAGGGATGATGTCTGCTCTCATCAATAGATTCTGTTTGGATGAAATCCTGTGTCCTACATGCCTCGGTCAAACATGTGGAGCTCTGAGGAGTTGTGCGCCTCATGCAAGATCTTGACTATCCATGCAGTGCAGTAATTGCAGCAGGGAACAGATGGAGTCCTGCTTTTTGCAGAGCCAGAGACAGCATGAAGTCATAGATCTCAGTTTGATACTGAATGAAGCTGAACTCCAAGTCATGCTGTGTTAGTCTGGAGAATACAGGAGAGCTGGAATGGCCTTTAGAGATGTGATCCAAGGGGGATTCAGGGGTCCAGTTGGGGGGTCCCATTCTGCAAACCTGGGGTTCTGATTTGCCTGAATGTATTACTGAAAATTGGAGATGCCCTATTGCTTTAGTCTCTGTTCACTCAGGATGTACCAGCCCTAGTTTTCTTATGCCAGGTTCTAGTTTGCAGGCATTTTTCTGAGCCTGCCCCAGCCACTTGTGTTACTTGTTCTATGAAAGCATTGCTATCCTCCTGTGAACATGCTGCAGCACCTCATGAGTCTGAAAAGCCGCGCAGGCGTAGTTCCTATCTATTGAACACGGATAAGTGCATAGTTACAGGAAGAAATATCTGATAGGCTGTGAGGTGCTTAGATATATTGTGGGCATGGGTTCCTTATAAATATCTGAGAACAGAGAGACCTAAGCAGCTTTATGAAGTACTGTGTTATTGGGGCCACAACCCTGTGACTTGAGTTTATTCTGCAGCCAGTGGAGGTGCATCCATCACAGAGATGCGTGCCATGGTGCAGAGACAGTACAGGGCCTCACTGATTGCCCGGGAAGTCACGGAGAGCTGTGAATTTCTAAATTAGGGCATGGCTGAGTGGAACAGCCTGCCCTGCTTTTAACATTTGGCAAGCATCAGATGAGGAAAAACGTGACTGTCACAGCTCCTCAGGATGAGTTCGTTTCTGATGTGTGTGGAAGCTTGGAGGGTCATTTGAGGAAACACCTGATGGCTTCCATGCCAGTTCAGAATTGGGTGGCTGACTTTATAGCTGTGTTTTTCAGTGGGAATCCTGCACAAAAGCCTGAGCTTTTCTTGGAGATTTATGAATCTTGAAAGGGTTCAAGAAAATAAAAAATTATTTATTAGGCATATAGGCTGCAGTGGCATTGGCTGCTGAGCCTGGCCTGGTGAGGTGGAGCTCACATGCGTTTCAGCAACTGAGGCAGCAATAACATCTCTGGTCTTGGACAGCTAGTTTCTGGCATGGTGATCTGGTGTACACAACCTCCATTCCTGGCTCCCATCACCACATTTTCACCTGCCCTACCTCTTTGTTGATGAAAAGCCATGAGGATGCTGAACCATATAGCTGTTCATCAACAGCACCATTCTGTTTGGGTCCGATGGGAAATGTGTCCTATGAGATTCCAGATCCTGTTGGAGTAGCAGAATGCTTGAGGATTTCGTAGCATTGCTATCAGAGGCAGGAGAAGCCAAATCTGTACCTCTTACTACATGGTTCCTTCTGAGAGCCTGTCGTGTGTTGAAAAGGCTGCTGAGTGCCACGGCTGATGCAAACAGAGCTGTCACTTGTTATGAGAGAGGACAACTATGTAAGATGTATTCCCTGGCTCAGCCACCTGCTGAGCATAAATAAGGCTGAGTCTGTTCTCACCTGCAGGACTGATGGGGGACTTGTCCTGTTATGTATTCTGTGATTTTCAGGATGGATGTTTGAAAAGAAAGGGCATGGTAACTGTGCTAACTGCTGCCCATGGTCCTGCTTTGTAGCCCCGTTGCTCAGCTTGGTGCTCACTGCTTGTGGGCAGACCCCGTGCTTCTAGGAGGATGTGCTGATCCCTTGCTTTTTGATTGCCCTGGGCAACAGGACAGACTTGTGAAGATGGAGGTGCTCCAAACAGACACAAGGAAGAAATTTGCTCCTATGCAGAGATGCCTGCAAACAGGGGGGGGACAGCACTTTGCATCCCTGCATGCTTGTCATTTCTTCAGGTAGAAGGAGCTTGATTACATCCTTCCAGGTATCTGCTGGGCTCCAAAGGAACGTGCGGCTCATTGCCTCTGATCAAGGGGCTACTAGTGAGTCTGAAAATAGCATTATGTCTCTTGCCATCATTTCTGCTTCCTCAGATGACTTCCTGGGTGATTGGTGGAGACAAATGCTCGAAAAATTGGAACCTGGAAAAAAATCTGTATGCCCCCAAGACTGAGATGGCCAAAGAGCCAAAATGAGAGAGAGACACACACATACATCGTTAGCCACTAGCTGTATGTGAAATGAATTGAGATTTCCTGAGTTGGGATCCAGCTGGCACGCTAATGAAGACTTCCCTTCGTTCTTGTAAGCAGAAAATATAAACCAACCCAGATTCACCCCCAGCATCCCCAGGCATTTCTGTTATATAAGTAAATCTGGGTCTTGATCAGTGTTTCTTTGATTATCTCTGTGCGCCCATATAAAAATACTGTGTGTGCGTACACACAAAATCCATCTATTTATCCACCCCACAAACCATTTTGCTGGGAGACAGCGTGGTCTCCTGAATTTTTTATGGCTTCACTTAGGCTGGAAACAATCCAGGGGTCAAATACCGTGCTGTATCTCCAGTCACCTTGCCAGTCAGCGCAGAGCATGGGTCTCTGATACTTTCTGAATCTCTGATCACCCACAGGGCACTAAATTACAGCTATTACACTGCAATTCGCTGTACAATTTTATTCTTTGATACACTACCTGCCTTTGTCTGTCTGCATAGCAGTCAGAGCAGTATGCATTATTTACCAGGCTAAGTACACTGCTGCTGCTAGTGTTGGGGGGGGGGGGGGGGAAGAAAGAAAGAAAGAAAAAAGAAGAAGATAAGAGAGCTGGAACAGGCTCGAAATATAAAAAGATGACACAAATACCACTTCCTGAGAAACGGTTCCACTGTTATATAAAACTTTCAGAGACTTTATCCACCCATACAGAGGTGTAACTGGAGCTACGAAGGCTCCTTAGGAAGAACAGAGGTCCTGAGGCAGAGTGGGGGTCCATTCTGACCATGCCTTAGCTTCGAGGGGATGCTGTGGCAAGCGCCATGCCTAATGGAGATGGAGAAGGAAGGGCGAGGAGAGCAGGGTGCTTCTTCCTCCCAGGTGATGTATAGCAGAGTCATACATGGGTCTGCGTCTCTGTTGGTTTGGCCAGTATCCCACCTGTGGTTTAGGAACCACACAGAGCAATGGTCAGGCAGTGCCTCATCACCACATTGTGAGTTTGCTGGGTGCTAATTCTGCTAAGATCAGAAGCTGCTCTGCACTGAGCTGTCTGCTGGCAGAGCAGAGTCACACACTCAGACCAACTCTGTTTCTTTCATTCGTTGGGATAAAATGCAACCAAAGTAGTTTTAAATCTAGTCTGTGGTCAGGAAAATGTTTTCTCGCTAGCTGAATGTCACAAGGCAAGCGTAGAGGGGGGTGAGAGCTAGGCTCTGATTACTGCAGAGTTAGTTGAAGAGGCATTGGCCTATATTGCTGCACTCAGTGCTCTGATGGTATCCACTCTCCCCAGTGTTGGGGAGCCATCTTCACTTTCTCTGAGCTGTGCTTTCCATCTGAGCCAGCCCCATTATTGTTTAGCAATACAAAGTAGATTGCAGGTTGCTTTCTCCATTTGGCCCCAAGAGTAGTCCTTATAGGAGATGGATTTCTGATTGAAATCCTCCCTGTCAATTGCTGCTGGGATTCTTCCGGCACAGCGTGAGCACGCTTCTTGTCAAATTGCTAGCAAGATAGGGCTGTTTCCACTTCCTTCCGCCTGCCGGCAATGTGACATTGCCCTCATTTCAGAGATGCTGTACAATCAATAGGTGTACAAAGGTTAGACATTGTAAGATTATCACGATGGAAAGAGAATCAAAATAAATGGAAACGCTCACCAGTGCCATGGGCTCACAAAAAAACCTCCACAAGGAGCAATCTCCAGAAAGAGATCCCTCCTTAGAGGCAGTCAGCACTTAAATAGGTCTAGGAGAGGTGCAGCCAGGTTCCACCCCTTCCGTCAGTGCAGGTGAATTGCCTTCACCTGTGCTCCGTGTCTGACTCATTGCTTGCCTCAGGTGGTCAATCAGAAGTTCAGGCCACGATCAACAGTTGCCATACAGATGCTTTGCACCTCCTCAGCTTTTGCAGGTCCCTAACAGAAGATGTCAGAGGAACCCATGGTCAAGCACCTCTAGTTCTCTCCTCTAAGCAAGACTGCTGGATGTGCCTCCCAAGAGATGCATCTTCTTAAAATCAGTGCTAAGAACCGAATGTTTTTCCTCTTCTGCTCAGGTGTACCAGCTGTGTGTGAGTCCCAAAGACTGTGTTTCTTGACACAAAAAGCATCAACAATAATCCTGTCTCTTTGGAGGAGCTGTGCGCTGCACTGGGACAATGGTGCCATTCCTTGGTCCAGAACAGCTCTGGCTGAGGGAACAGGAATTGAGCTCAGCTCAGACGCAATGCTTGCAGGTTCTCTGCCCTTGCTGAGAACTCGTTCCAACTCACCCCTGCAGCCAGTCTCTCAGCATTACTTGAGTGCTGACAGCCTTGTGGACAAGCTGCACTGGTTGGGTGCAGGAAGTACCCTTCCCTTTTATTGCAGGTTTTGGAGGCTGCTCTGATAGAGCAGTGTGAATACATTCTGAGCCACTTTTTAGCTCAACTGGGACGTGCTTCAGGCACAGTTTGATGGACCCCTGACTTATTTCAAGGGTGGAATCTCAGCTGTCAGGATGCTGGTGTGAAAGGGGAGTTCTCTTTTCAACAAGGTTTTCCTTCCGTGGACAGCAGAGGCAGTGGCTGTGTGAGGCAAGTTAATAGCCTCATTGCCTTTTCCTCTCAGATTATCTGGGTGATTAATGAAAGAAGTTAAAAATCAGTACCATTTTCTCCATTCCATCCTCTGCCTGATGTTCTCTCTACATGCATCTCAGACCTGAGAAAGAGTTTAAACACCCAAAAGTTCATCTGTCTTTTCCAGCTAGAACAGCTAGAACATCAGGAAAAGCAATTCTCCCGCCTCACAAATTAGGGATAGAGCAGCTACCCTGGCTGTCTCATTTCTCTCCCAGGAATAATATGACTGTTCTGTGCTCCTCTGATGGCAGTAAAACTGGGGCAGAATGCACATCTTTAAGACAAAGCCAGATACCAGTGTGTGCTGTGCTGCCCTGGGCTGTGTCTCCCTTGGCCATGGGAGCAGCATTGGCAGGCAGGAGGGAGACCAGGGCATGAAGGGAAGCAGTAGAGGAGGGTGTCTGCATCATGAAGCATGCATTTTCTCTTCTAATTTGGGATTTGAAGCGTGTGTGGCACATGCTGGTGGGATTTAAATGCATTTTGATGACTTTACAAACGGACTCAACTGTTCCCAGGTTTCACAACCTGGAGGAAGAAGGAAATAAGCCAGAGTACTTAACTGCAACCTCCAATGCCCAGTCCTTGAAATAACATCAAGCATACTGCTTCAGAAACATTGTCAGGGGCTTGGGAGAGGCTGGAGAAGTGCCACAAAACTGGGGAATGCACTGAAAAAGGAAGCAATTAGGTAGAGCCCTTTTGTGTACCAGCTGCTGCTAAGACTGACAAACACAACTTAGCCATATTTTGCTCTCAGGTGGAGAGCTCTTGAGTGTTTTCCATGCATTTGTCTCTGCAGTTTATCTCAAAGGGGATTGCTTTCTCTTAGTTCACATGCAGCCTGGCCAACATCATACCTTACCGACCTCATCTGCATTGACAAATGCTCTCTTGAGGGCTTTCTAAATAAAATGACTCGTATGTCACTGGAATGTCTTGAGACCTTGGCACAGAGCACCAGCCTCTGATGCATTAGGGTTGCTGTAACACCTTTTAAAGGAGGACCCAGTCTGGATCTTTTTCTTGGAGCACATCCAGACAGAGAGACCCCCCTGCCACACTGCTTATGTGATGCAAGGAAATTTACAGATGGTTGTCATTCAGTTCCTTCCCTGAAAAAGCATGCCTCTGAAGCCTCTGGAGGTCGCTGCCAGCAGCAGAACTCACAATGGATTAGAAACAAGGACTCAGAGAGTCATCCTAATTCTGCTGGGATTTTCCATATGCATGTCCACTGGGGTGCAGCAAAGGCAACACTTTCCTGCTTAGACTGTCCTGGCTTCAAGCATCTTTGGCTGCTTTGTCTCAGCCCTCTGTTTCCAATGAAGCCCCGTGTCTAGGCAAGGAAAGATGATGTGATTGGGAGTCCATTGTGTGGCAGCTGCAGCCTCGGGGTAAAAGAGAGGATAGGGAAGACTTGGGGTGCAGAGGGTGCAGCACAGCTGCAGGAATAGACCCCCAAACCCAGCCCTGGATGCGTAGCCCTGGAATGGCCTGGGGACTGGTTGGCACCTACTGTGTCCTTGTCCCCAGCAGGCACGTGTTTGGCACGTGAAGGCAGCAAGTATGCCAGCAGAGGTAAGACCCACTCTGTGAACTGTGTGCATTGAGGCAAGTCTCTTTCCAGCTCCAAAGGTGTTCAACAGGAGACTTGATTTTTAAATTATCTAGAGCTATTTTTTTTTTTAAATGACTTTTCCTGCAGACCTGAATGGCTGCCAGCACTTGCAAGCAGCAGGAACACAAAGCTGCCATTTGAAAGCTCTGGCAAGGGAGGACTGGCAACAGAAACAGTCTGGATGATCCGCTTGGAGAAGTCTTCAGAGCCATTCAATTCAGACACTGATACTAGCTGATTTCTGACACCCATTGCAGTTTATTATTAGGAGCCTGGAGAAGCAGACACCGCACCTCCTTTGAAATATCTCCTGGCTCTCCCCCTCCAGTTTCTGTGTCCTGTTACTAGCACCCCAGGAACTCCAGAGAAATGAACAGGAGAGCTGTGAATGGCAGCTCCACAGCCTTGGCTTGAGAGCAAGCAGCAGGAGCTAGTGTGGTTCCGTTTGCAGGATAACATCTCAAACAATACCTCTCCAGGAACAGAGATATGTCCATACCTGCTATGAAAGCAGAATTTTCTCAGCAGTGCAGGAGTTGCAGTTCACAAGGAGCAAACACCTCATTAAATTTCTGCTGCGTGTAAAATAAAGCTGTTAATGATAGTTAGTCCTTCTTTTGCACCTTCCCTTTGAGGAGCTTGATAGCATTTTGCAGACACTAATTAGTAATTGGTTGCAACTACTTGGGAAAAATGGCTAAAAAATTGGTCTTTTGTGCCTAGGGAGACTGAGGTACAAGTGCAGTGCATTTCCTCCTACCTCTGTGGTGCACCTCTAGGTGATATTGGTGCTTCTGATTGTCAGAGTGCTGGCAGAAGGATTGTGCTCTGCAGGTGACCAGGCACTGGTCATCACAGGAAGCTGGAGTGTGCCCAGGTTGGATGTGACCCCTGTCATGTTTCAGCCTGGCTAGGACAGGGATGTGTGGATGGGAGGCTACTTTTCTGTAGCCACTCCAAAGATGGCTCTTTCAGAGACACGCAGGCACAGACAGTGATTTGTGAGCCAGACAAAGTGTTAGCTCATCCTGCCTGCATAAAACAAGCTGTAGGACTTCATGCTGTTCCCAGCTGAGGGGGCAGTCACATGCATCAGCTGTCACAGACTTCTCTCCCTTCCCCTCTCTGAGCTCAGTTCCCCGCCACTGAGCAGGAGGCTTTGTCTCTCCTGCAGAAATGTTCCTTGCCTTTGGTTCTCAGTGTCCTCCCCTCCACAAGAAGGGGCATTTCTGAGAAGCACAACTTCCTTAGGATCTGTTACCCAGCGATCCTGCTCAGATAGCCAGTCTGAGACCTGGCCAAGTCCTGCTACAAAGGCCAGGGGTTTTGGTCACAGCAGGAAGCCTGAAGGTTATTTACTTTAGCTTTTTCCCATCCTCATAAAGTTCAGTAAAGGAAACTTTTCAGGAAAAAAAAGAAAGTTAACTGTCCCCTGCTTTATTCAGATAAGAAGAGATTCAGGTCTTCTAGCCTCTATTGAAAAAGACTGTTTTCTATGTAGCCAAATTGTTGTCAGCAGATATTATCCAGGCACAGCAAATGCATGGCAGCTCCTGTGTGGTCAGCCTAGGTAAGGCCTCAGTTCACATCCCAGGATGTAGGTACAGGTATCAAAAACCAAGATTTTCTCTCTTTTCTGGTTATGGCCAGCAAGGAATTCAGCATTCTTTGAGAGCTGGAACACTAAAACCTGAGGCCAGATCCAATTCAAAGCAAGGCAGAGGGTGGGACACCAGCAGTGCTCTTCCCTAGTTTTCTTGAGGACAAATCATGGCCTTCCTTGAAGTGTCTGCTGGCTACCTTTGTCTGCACAACACAAAAAAACATGAGATGAGGCATTGCAAGGCGAAATCTGTAGGCAGTGCAATAGCACCATGCCTTTGCAACTCATTTTAGAGAGGTTTACTTACAAGAGGGTTTATTGCTAATGAAAAGCTTCCCCCAGGTAGCTCTTACCCTAAAGTAGCAACAGCATGGCTGTAGTCTTTTCTGATCCATTAGAGCCTTATCTGGAGTTCTTTGTTCATCTTCCAAAATCTCTTTAATTCATGTCTTCCCAGAAGACAATCAACCCTTGTCTGACTTCATCCTACTTAGCCTTGTACATAATCTCCTGCAGTAATCCACAAAAACAGCACCGATACCTTGTGACTTGAGTTATAGAAATCCACTTTAGCCTCTGTAGGAAGAATGTTTTTATCTCTTTCTTCCCTCTTCTTTAAACAAATTCATAATTTCCTGGGTTTATCACAACCCCCATGGGTTCTGGACTATTCCCTGTGCCTGGTACATACTGCACAGTTCTTTAAGGCAAAGTTCAGCACCTCTTCCAATAATATAATAGCGCTCTGTTGCAAACAGTTGCTTTTCATTTGCTTTGCGTTACGCTTTTAGGTTCTGCCTGTTTTTACTCCCTAGCACCATGTAGGCTTGATGCTACAGGTGACCCTGTGAGATGACA